ACTTATCTGATTGACGTGAAATTTTTTTTGGTTCGTTTTTATATATATATAAACAAATTTGGGAGGTGAGACCAAGGAATTTCTAAAAGAAATTTTTCATAATCTATAACTAAGGACCACTCTAATGTATATATATATATCAATTGTAAATTATTATTTGTTAAATCAAACCATATGCTTATTGTACTAATGTAGGTACAGATTGTATATTTTCTAATAAAAAAAAAAAATTTAAAACGGCTTATTATTTGAAACTTTAATATATAAATTGCCTAATTAAACTATGTTTTGATAAAAATCCTATTATCATTATAGTCTACAGTTAGTATTTATGGGATGAAAAATGCATTATAATTTCTTAAACAAACTTCATACTAATTATTTATTTATTATTATTATTATTTAATTATGTAAGTACAGTAATGTGAAAGTTCTTAAAAAAAAACTAATTCAAGTTTATCATATTAAACTTCTTTTTTTTAAATTGATAACGAAAATAAAATAATCAAGCTGTAAAAAATAAAATATACTTTTTTTATGAAGTTAATTATAACCACAATTTTATTAAGATTTTACCACGTTATGAAATAATTCATCACAGTATAAATAATTTGTTTTAATTTAATTGCACAGTGACTAATTACCACACCTCTCCAACAGTCTATACTATAGAACAGCGGTTCCCAATTAGTGTGAAGCCACGGACCCCTATCTATAACCTAAATTGGTCCACGGACCCCTTTTTTGTAAATACTTATTTTTCAATTTTATTTTATTATGAAAATGAAAAATTTGAAAGTTATTTGTTATTTTCAAGTTATTTGAAATAACACCTTCAAACTTTATGAGACAAGTGAAATCTTTCTTTTTTGTTCATAATTTCGTCTAAGTCTGGCAGCATGCTTGATATTTTAACTCTTAAATCAGCGTCAATATTAAGTCTATTACGATATTTATTTTTCATGTAACAGTAGGTAGAAAAAGCTTGTTCACATCTATATGTTGTGCAAAAGGGGATCAAATGTCTTAAAGCTTTCTCAGCCAGTTACTTTTGATTATTTTGAACAATTAACCAAAAATCAATTAGTTTTAGCTTCGATGCGAAGCTGAGAAGGTATTGGTTTTACTATGATGTGTTTTTTTTTTTTTTTTTTT